TTGTGGTTAGTAATAAAGCTAAAGAAGCAGGTTACAAAAACTGTATGTTTCTCCCACCCCACTCCACCCCTTTTAAAGAAAAGCAATAGAGAGAGAAAGAACTGGAAGAATATCATAAGGTAAGAACCTTATGATAGTTGTTTCTTGGTGGTAGGATATGATATGAGTTCTGTTTTTCCTTTTGCACATTTACCCTCCCTCCCTCCTTTGGATTACCTGTGTCTTCTATAACAACCCTGTCCAATAGAAAAATAATGTGAGCCACATATATAATTTTAAACATTCTTGCAACCACATTTTAAAAATAAAAAGAAACAGATAAAAATAACTTTAATAATATGTGTTTAACCCCAATATATCAATGTTATCATTATAACATGTAACCAACACAAGAAAATATTAATGATATCTTAGATTTTTCAAAACACTCAGCCTTCCAAATCTGGTATGTATTTTACATTTACAGAATATTTCAATTTGGGCCATCCACATTTTAAGCACTCAGTGGCCATATGGCTTCCGTGTTGGACAGCAAAGCTGTATAAAATTAATAGCTAACATTTATCGAGTGCTTACTAGGTGCTAGGCACTGCTGTAAGCCCGTTAGATGGGGAGTATAACTCATTCAATCTCACAATAATTCCTTAAGTTTGTTATGATTATTATTGCCTCCATAAGCACGTGTTGCTATTGTAATAACACCACGGTCAAAGTTTTGGAGCTTTTTCTGTGAACATCTCCCCAGTGGGATGGCGGTAGAAGCCAGGTTGCAAAGCCTTATTGAGTCAAGGAGAACTGAGGGAGTCAGAGAGATTAAAATTTACAAAGTTAGATGGTGAAAAGCAGTTAGCAGAAACAAGATGACAGAAGGCTTTTTGTGGGGCAGAGAGACCTGTAGGTGAAGTAGGCTAAAGAGGAGGAAGGGGGATGAGAGGTAAAAGAAATGGCCAGGGATGTCTTCAGACCCAGGACTCTGAGGAGGAGAACCAGGGCTCTGTTGGATAAACTTTGCCGGTCTGTGCTGGTGGTTGTGATGGATGCCACCGCTCCCCAGCTGGGGGTGGAGGTGGAGGGGTCATAGCCTGGGAGTCAGGGGGCAGACACTGGTGACTCCATTCTGCAGGTGGATGCTGGGTCAGAGTGGGGGCGGGTCTTCCCTGGGGGAGGGGGAGGTGAACTGAGTGGTGAAGAATGAAGTTAGCCAGCAAAGGAGCAAAAAGCTAGGCGAGTTAGGCTTGAGAAGTACTTGACTCAGAGACCGAGACCGGGAGTCAAGGATGGATAAGGGAGATGAGAGAGTGAGGATCTAAGGAAGGTTCCCCGGTTTCCCGCATGGGCAAAGGCAGAGACAGTAACGTTTACTGAGGCCTCCCTGGAGTCACACATTGGTCCTGTGCAGGGCATACTAATCTCACTCATCCTCACAGAGGACCCAGATCATGCTCCCCCTTCCGCAGGTGTGCAAGCTGAGGCAAGACTATTGGCCCCATGTCTCACATTAGTAAGTGGAGGAGTCAGGACTTGAGCCCAGGTTATTCCAGAGATGGAGGGAAGGAGGAGAAAAATGACGAGGGTCCAGAGCTGGGACGGGTGGTGCAGGGGGGTGGGGGGGGGTGAGGTGCAGGCAAACTTGGAATGAAAGGGAAGCAGCTGTGTGGGGTGGGAGGGCCCTCCAGCCTGAAGCAGGCAGGCACGATCAGTCTTTGGGCAGAACTCAGCAACTTGGGAGGGAGGACCCATAGGTGGAAAGGCAGGGTTGGGGAACAGATGTGGGAGAGGGGGCAGCAGGTATGGTTTAAGGTGGGCTGCGGTCCTCTGGTGAGAAGAGGAGGCATTTATGTACCGGGTCAGCTGGGGGGCATCAGAGGCAGAGACTGGGCAAGTGAGAAGGCACAGGAAGAGATGGGGGCCAGGGGGCCAAGGGGGCAAGAACACAGCAGCAGGCTTAGAGACCCCCTGAAGGTGACAAGTTCTTCTCATAACCTACTGCAGAGAAAGCGACAATAGAGGAAGAGGCCCTAAGAGGAGCGGAAATAGAGGAATCCTGGTAAGGGGTAAATGTCTGCAGAGGGAGGAAAAGGATGGAGGGAGGTTGGGGGGTTAAGGGAGAGGAATGCCCGAGAAAGGTGGCTGGGGAAAGGGAAAGGGGAGGGAGGATGAAGGTAGAACTGCACCTAGTGCACCCAGCACCCTAACCCTGTGGCTGCCTGCCTAGGGAGTCAGAGGCAGCTGCAGGGGTGCGGATGGAATGAGGGTGGAACCCGAGCCAGACCAGGATCACTGAGCTGTCCCAACTCAATCCAGACTGCGACCAGACTCAAGTCACCGGTCCCCCGGACTCTCTTTCTCCACGTGTAAAATGGGATTAGTAACTAGATGGGTAGATGTCAAAGTATTTCACAAGCACCACCACAAGGGAAGGTGCTATTATAAAGATCTATCAAGTTAACAGGAATGTGTATCCCCAGAACCATACAGATGAAAACAGATGTGGCCGGTGTAGATGCAAGTCTAGGAAAGGCCCGGTAGATTGCAAGCTCTTCTACCTGCCCAGTTTAGCGAGTTCGCGGCCACCATCCAGCCTCTCAGTGGGGTAGGAGGTGAGGGCCTGCGGCTGGACCGATGGGGTTTATCTCCGGCTGGGGCGCAAGGCTCCGGGGAGGCTTAAACTTGCTCGGGCTCCTGTCTTCTCCGTGGCAGCCCCCTGTCGCCGCAGAGCACAGGCCCAGGCAATGCTTATCCAACTGAACTCGCGTCCCCGCGGGGATCTTGCTCCAACAAAATACCCAGTTATCTCCCTCTATATAAAGCGGAAAAACTCGAGCTGTGCCTTTGCCCAGCTCCGCACCCTCGCCCCCTTCGTGCTGTGGCCTGCTTAGGTCTCCACTCGGAGCTTCCCCTTTCCAGGACTGAGGCTGGAGCAAAGGAGGAGGAGGAAGAAATCAATGAAAAGTCGGGGTGGAGGGTGGAGCAGAGAGACAGGGAGGGGGATAGACAGGCTGAGACGGAAACTGGAGAGAGAGACCGGTAAAGAGAGCCAAAAAGAGCCGGAGAGGTCGCAAAGAGGGCACAGGCGCTCGCCGCGGATTCGGTACCGATTCCTTCCGCAGGCGTTTCTGCCGCGGCTCCGCAGCGCCCGGCTCCGGGCTGCCCCGGACGCGAAGGGCTGCAGGGTGCGGTCGCCTCGCCGCCCCCCCCTCTTAGCCCCCTCCCCACCTCTCCCAAGGGGGCCGGAACGGCGTCGGCGCGCTGGGGCTTTTCGGAGCAGTCGAGTGGAAAATAGACTTTAACCCGCTTTGTGGCTACAAGGGCGCCTGAAGCGCTCTCGCGGACCAGGGCTCCCGGCGCTCAGGCGGGCCACTCCCAAGACCCGGCCTGGAGTCCCTGCAGAGTCACGCGGCCCGCGGAACCCCTGGCCTGGGGCGCCGGCAGGCCCGACCCAGGTCTGCGCACCCGGCAGCGGCCGCGCCGCCCTCACTGACCCCGGCGGCGGCGAGGAAGCTGAGCGCGCTGCCGTCCCCTCCTCGCAGTGCGTTGGCAGGGTCCGGGTCGCAGCCTCCCCACCACTGCCCGGCGCCCTCCTAGGCCTCGGGGAGGTGTTTCCTGAGGCCTGGAAGGCCCGGGTGAAAAAGTTTGCAGAGTACTGGTTCTCCTCTCCCACTCACCCCCAGGAAATTATTGCAAGAAATGGAAACCTGACGGAGCAGAGTCGTCCGCGGCTCCGCGGTCGCAGGTGGAAGGTGAGGGTCAGGGGAGGCCAGGAGGCCGCTGCGTTCCGGGGATGGCTGATGTGTATTCTTGGAGACAGGGTCGACCTACTTGGCCAGCTCCAGGTTAAGGCCCGAGGCTCGGGCCTGGCCCGGCCCGCCTGCACCTGAGCCTCACGACCAGAGAAGGCGAGGAAAGCAGCAGATCGCCCTGTGCTGAGGCCCGCCGTCCCGGTGCGAGCAGAGCGCGGCCGCCGTGGTTGGGCAAAGGAGGTGCTTCCGAACCCGGATTTGCGGCTTGAGGTCTGCAAAGTGACCACTCCGGCAGCTCCTCTCGCGCTGTCCCCGGCCTGGCCCCTTGTGAAAAGAATTGGGCGTCCCCCTTTCTGGAGCTGTCCCCCGCAACCCTCAGAAAACGCGAAACCTCACGAGCAAGGCCTCGGCTTTCAGAACGCGGCCCAGGAGAGAGACGGTGGGTGAGCGTGAGCGGAAGGGTCCCCGAGACCCGGGGAGCAGCGACCTGGTTATCAGAGAATGTATTTATCGGGCAAAAAAACACCCTCCCTCTCTCCGCTCGGATCCAAGTTGCTTGAGAACTGAAACGACATCCCAGGATGAATTGGAGAGGGTTCAACTGAGTTACACATCGGGAAGTGGGGTTGGAGTTTCTCCGAAGCCCCAGGCCCCTCGGACGTCTTCTTGGGCTACCGCGTGGGCTGAGACGGTTGGGACCATCGCCAGACTCAGCTAAAAGGGCAGAGACGCGAAGAGAAGCCCGTGGCGAGGGGCGGATGGGGGCTGGGGGGAGGCCTAGACAGCCCGGCAGAGGCTCCAGTCCGCTTTTTGCCTCCGACTGCTGGCTCCTTCTCCACCCGCCGTCCCTCGCCCCGCCCCGCCCCGCCCCCCACCTTGGGGCAGGTGAGCTGCGGCCAATGGGCGAGCGCGGGGCAGGTGCCGGCTAACTCGCGCCTCGCAGTACAGCGGCCGAAGCTGAGCTGGGCAGTGCTGGGAGGACCAGGGGCGGGGGTCTGTCCTGGCTCGACTCGGGAGGGAGGGGGCCGGACTCAGCCCCCAGGCCGTAGAGGCAGCTCGCAACATCGCACGGAACCCGCGCCAGTGCCCGCGCCGGGAGCTGCCCGCTCGGCCCCAGAGGCCGGCGCGCCTAGCTGCGCGCCGTGGCCCGACTCCGCGTTCGCTCGCTCTCACGCCCCTCGCCTCTCCGCGCCTGGCTCGCCGGCAGGGTCTGAGCGAGGGCGGGCGGGCGGGGGAGGTGAGGGGTGCTGGTGTGTGTGCATGTGCCTGGCTGGGTGCACACCCCGCACGGCGGCGGCGCCAGGACGCGGAGCGCTCCCCAGAGCCCGGCTGCCTCGCTCGGCTCTGGCGACCGCGACCATGTTCCAGCCCACAACCAAGCGCGGCTTTACCATCGAGTCCTTGGTAGCCAAGGACGGCGGCACCGGCGGGGGCACTGGCGGCGGGGGCGCCGGCTCCCATCCCCTGGCGGCGGCCGCCTCGGAGGAGCCACTCCGGCCCACGGCGCTCAATTACCCTCACCCCGGCGCGGCCGAGGCGGCCTTCGTGAGCGGCTTCCCCGCCGCCGCCGCCGCCGCCGCCGCCGCCGCGGGCGCCGGTCGCTCGCTTTACGGTGGGCCCGAGCTCGTGTTCCCCGAGGCCATGAACCACCCCGCGCTGACCGTGCACCCGGCGCACCAGCTGGGCGCCTCCCCGCTGCAGCCCCCGCACTCCTTCTTCGGCGCCCAGCACCGGGACCCTCTGCACTTCTACCCCTGGGTCCTGCGGAACCGCTTCTTCGGCCACCGCTTCCAGGGTGAGTGCCCATGCTGTGCCCGCTTAGGCGGCCGGCCAGCGCTGGCCCTGCGGTGGCGCGGGGGAGGCTCGGGGGCTGTTCAGAAGTTGTTGAAACAAGGCTGTGGGGTCCGCAGAGGCCGATTCCCAAACCGGGAGGAGCCGCGCCGGATCCGTTCGCGCTTCCGCGGCGTTGGGTTCCCTCCCAGAGAGCCAGGTTGGGACCTCCAGGCTTGCCCAGAAAACGGTGCGGGTTCGGACGCCAAACCCGGGCGCATCCCTGGAGTTCTTCTCCTGATCCTCCCCGCGGCCTGCCAGAATCTGTCGGTGCTGCGCCAGTCCCAGTCCAGAGAGCGCAGCGACCGCAGCGCCCGCCGCCCCCTCCCTCTGCGCGGGCTGGACCTGGGACCCTACTTCCCTCTCACATCCACCACCAATTCCCAGATATCCGCCCTCGCTGGCGCGTCCCAGCGGGGCAAAGTCCACGCGCGTGTCCCGGGTCTGCGGAGAGAAGGGGCAGCGGGGAGGGGACACTGGAGAGTTAATGTTCCGTGAGGAGTTCTCCACCGTCTCGGGGTGTTTCTCAACAACCTCGACCCGACTTTGTCGAGTCACAAGTGCCTCTCGGACCCAGGGTCGGGAAGGGTTGCAATAGCAACCGGCTTCCTTCGCCATGCGCCGACTCTGGGAGTCCACCCGGCGGCTGCGGGACCCACGGCAGTCCTCCCAAGTAGGGGGGCGGGGGCTTTTAAGGTCGCAGGCTAGCCGAGCTCCCACGTCTTCACTGGGCAACGGGTTTGCTAATGAAGATCCCCCACTAGCCTTACAAACGCGCGCGCACACGCGCGCGCACACACACACGCGTTTCCATTATCTGACTTTCCCGAAGGAAAGAGTTGCATTTGTTGGAGTTCGTTGTCTTCCTGGAATTTGTTAAAGTTTGTTTCTCTTTTCTTGCCTTTTTTTCTTTTTAAAAGAATGACCTAATTTGTACAGTAATTGCTTAGTTTCCAGTTTTATTTTGTTAGTGTAGACGGGACTGGACTTCAGCCTTTTGAGGTTCCATAACTCAGAGCTAGGTAACCCGGCTTTTAGTGAAACCAATGAAAAGGATATGGCTAGAGCTTCGGCTGCCAACCTAATCTGAGGATAAACCGCGGTCTACACAGTCAAAGTAAACCAGATGCTTGGTACCATTATCTAGATAACAGAAGAAAAATGATCTTTTTTGAAGCTTTGGCTATAGCTGAACTGTTTCATGGGAAGCTGCTTTCCTGGTCCAATTTGTCAATTTGCTTAGTCCCATCTGACAAGTAGATACTGACCCAGCAGATCCCAACAATATAAAAGGCTGTAATTACTTGAACAAGAATTTTTGTGGGCAGACTTGTTTCCCCTCAGATTTCAAAGATTTGCCTAAATCATGCGGTGGGGGAGGGAGCCTATGGTGTCAGCCGTTTTGGGCAGGAAACCTGTCAATTACAATGATTGTTTATTGCTATAAATGATTGAAGTTTTATTCAGAACTGAGTAAACCATCTCGGTGCTCCTTGGGCCCAGACCAGCCTGGGTCTCAAAACCTGGCACCCATGGGCCGATCTGAGAGTCGCGGCTATTTTTGAACCGTCGGGCCGGGGTAGTAGAAGGACCCGTGGTTAGGAGGCTGGTGCAAGGACAGGGGCTCTAAGGAGAGGGCAGAGCCGGTCCTAAGCCCTGGGGTCTCTGATCATCCGGGGAAGGCCTCCCCCGCCGAGCCCTCGGCTTCGGACCCGGCGCCCCACGCCCTCCTAGATGCTTTTCCCGCCTCTGGCCTCGTCCCCGTGGGCACGGGGCGCCGAGGGCAGGGGACAGCTCGCGGCTCTGAGCATTCCCAGCCAATCGAGCCCACATGAATTCTCCGAAAAACCTTCTCAGAAATTGCCGCGGCTCCCTGAGCCATCAGTGCCGGCGGGCACGTTGTCGAGTTGCAAAAACGGTTGAAATTTTCTCTTAAGAACCGTTTCTGGACGCGGAGATGGAGCCATGTGCGGCCGCATTTTTGAACTCGGAAATCCGTTGGACACGGAAGGACTTTGCCGACCCTGAGACGTTTCGGCTTTGGGTCGGGTCTTCGTCGCCGCGGCCCGATGCGCGGCCCGGCAGCTGTGAGCCTGGCGGTCCCAGCTGGGCCTCGGGGCTGCGGGCCGAGCCGTCCCAGGCCCTCCGGCGCCGCGTTTTCTAGAGAACCGGGTCTCTGCGATGCTCATTTCAGCCCCGTTTTAATGCAAGAAACGAAACCCTACACGAACGAAAAGGAACATGTCTGCGCTCCGTGCGCAGCGCGGGCCAGCGCTCGGGGAAGCGGCTTCTCGGCGGAGCGAGGCGGTGGAAGAGGAAGAGCCCACGGGGTATGGTCTGGATCAGGTGGCGGGATCCTGAAGCCCGTAGCCTTCGAGGCCTGAAGGGGAGGAGCCGGCGGAAACCGGGAATTGGCCGCACTTCGGTGCCATTTTCTGGACGCAGGAACTTTCCAAGCCGGGAACGGCGTCTGGAGGGGGCCTGGGAAGCCCCAACCCTCAGGGATCCGCGTCTGTAATGGGCCGGTGCTTCAAAGGGCGCCTTTGTTCCGGCAGGAGGAGGGGGAATGAGGTTATCTCCTTAGCTTGGCCGGCCTCTCCCACTCGTCGCCCCAGGCTCCTCCGCCCAGCCGGCCGGCTCAGAGCTCCTGGCCGGCCGCGGCCTCTCCAGAAGAGAGTTCAGCGGCCAGCGCCGGCACTTCGGATCCTTTAGTTCCCACGTCCGGCCACCTCAGTCCTGGGAGTCTCTCCTGTCAATCCCTGCCTTCCCTGCATTGAGAGGCTGGAGAAAAATGGGGTGGGGTTCAGTTCCTCCTGGCTCCAGAGAAGCTGAAGACATCCTCCTTCCACTTTTCCACCTCTCCTTGTCTGAAGCTGATAGCCCACTGCCAGAGGTGAGAACTACTGCAGGGAAACGGGCCACACTGGCCCCAGCCCCAAGCTTGTTCTGCTCTTGTGGTCCAGTTAAGGGAAACTGAAGCTGCGGTAGGGACTGTTGAGGCCCCCTACCCATAACAAGAGGGGCTCAGGAACTTAGGCGCCTAAAGCATCACTCTATCCTTACAGAAACATAGAGCTATTTGATCAGTTTGTCCGGATAGTTAGTTTTGCACTAAACCCCCTCTCTCTTACAGGAAAAAAAACCTTGCTTCTTTTGAAATCCAGTCTGTCATCACCTTTCAGTATACGGAGTCATTTTCCTGCCCCTTGCTTCTTCGTGGCTGGGTCATATGGACCCCTATGTTTCTGTGGGTACATGTGGACATAGCCTGAAGGACAGTCTATCTGCCCCAACAGGGCATGACAGTAAACCAAGCCTAGCTTTTCTTAAAATAGCCAGACTTGAGGCAAAGGGATGTGTGTATGTCACAAGGACAGAGTAAGCTTGTTGCTTCCATCCTCCACTTTGGGTTTATGAAGACAAACACAGAGAAGTCCACCATGCAAGGGACCAACACATACCCCCAGAATTACAAAACGGCCATCAAACCATACACACCGAGGCAGACTGCAGTCCTGCTCTCCCAGCCACAGATTGTCCCTGACACCCCTGCACCCCATTCACTCCCATCTACAGGGTCTCTCCAGGCTGCCACCTCACTTTTGACAAGCCTGGGCCAATTGAGCTGCTGAGGCCAACACTGGAACTCTGGGATGAGCGAGGCCTTCTCCCTGCCCAGCTTATTTGTCCAGAGGCAAAACTACTGTTGGGACTCCACCCAGGCTCAGAACCACACCGTGTGCTGAAGCAGTTTAACATCAGCAAGAAGGGTTTGCTTCCCACCCACCTCTTCCACCTTTCTCTGGCCTATCACACTGGTACCCACTTAAGACTTTAATTCTTATTCCTACTTGGATCAGGCTCCTCCTTTCATTCCTTCTTACTTACTCCTCTCTGCCAGACCACTTCCCTTGATCATCTATCCCCTCCACCACCACCAGTTAAACTTCCTTCATTCAGGCCTAACAGCCCTGGACCTGCCTCCACCTTGAAGGGCCCACTGGGCAGAGCGTCCCCTTCCATCTCCCCAAGGTGTGATGCCACTCCCTCTTGTAGCTGCACAGATCCAGCCACTTGAAACGGGAATGTGATTGTCAGGGGACTTCATTTCCCCTCTGGCAACCTTGTTCTAGAACGGGAGGCAGGGAACAATACCCAGCAATAAAAGACACCTGTGTAAGCCTCCAAAGCCCAAGGAGTTGGAGAAAGTAACGCCAGTCAGTTTCCACCAGCAGAGGGACATGAACAGTTACCTGGAGAGTTTTAGCAATAGTATGTCCATGATGTGCCCTTACTTCCCTTACAGAGGTATTTCCAGAAATGGAAAATCTCAGCTGAGATCCAAACAATTGCCTTAAACAAAACAACAGGTCAAACTGGGTAAAACCAGTGGGCCATTACTGGAGAAATTCATTGGCTCGGTCAATCTCAATGGCTAACCGTGTGAAAACATTCCATCTCGGGCTCTTCATTGTCAGTGGCTCAACAGTACTGATATTTGCCCCTGCAAGAGAACCCATGGGTGATATCAGGGCCTGTTTCAAGTCTAAGAGCATGTGCAACCAAGCCAGAGATTGCACGAAGACCTGGTGGGGGGTTTACTGAACGTGGGGCGGTAGGTGGAGGCTCATTTTGGCTTTTGTACTTCCTGACCTCACCACCCCCACCCCGGGGGCCTTATCCCACCCAGGTTCAGCCCCTCCTTCTGCTTGTAGGAGCTGAGTTCCCATGATGGCCAACACTTGCCAAGGGACAATTACAGTCTTTGAAAATCCTGTATGGTAGATGGGAGAAAAAAACAGTAGGGAGGCTGGAGCATATATTTACACACGCCCATGCAGAAACCAATATATCTATATCTATATATATTAGAGAGAAAGATGACATCTAGATATTTATACACGTGTTTCTTCAGCACGGGACTATTCAGGGACGAAGCAAGGCCTTTTCCCACTGGAGAGCATTAGGAGTCTCCCGGGGGCAGTGAGCTTTACCTGAAGGCCTGGGGTGTTGCCTGGATATTGACCTACCCGCTGGCCTATTTTTACCACTTGCAAGGTAGAGCCTGGGCCTGTTGGCAGGAATTTTCAGAGGGCTAGTGGCCTGAGCATTTAGCTGCAAGTGTGGTTTAAACAGGTGTGAAAAGAGAGTGCCTTGGGTCCCTTCTAGTTCCTGAAAATGTGTTTGGCATGAGGGTGGTGAGCAGCCTCACTGTTCCCCATATCACCTTCGTGACTCTCAGCCCTGTCCCTCCTCGTGTAGCAGGGCCAGGGGACAAAGAGAACTAAGGGATTTTTCCCACCCCGGCCTCTTCCGCTGCTCCAGGCGCCTCGCTAGGCCTGGGCCCTCCACCTGGCCCATCTAGTGATCCGCTGCTCTGCTCCTCCAGGCTTCGGGCGACCGACGGGGTAGCTTCTCGAACCCTCAGGAAGTATGGGGGAGGAGAGAGGAGTGGACTTAAGGAAGGGGGCGGCACAAGGGAAAGGGGAAAAGTGGGGGCGGGAGCCAAGGATTGGAGAGGGCAACGGAGCGCCAAGGGCGGTTGCGAGCGGGGCCAGAGGGCTGGGCTCGGCCGGCTCCCGAGGGCGGCCCGGCGGCCGGGCTGCGGCTCACGGCGCCCCTTCTCTCTGTCTGTACCTGCTGTGTTGCCGTCGGCGGCGCGGCCGCAGCGAGCGACGTGCCCCAGGACGGGCTGCTTCTGCACGGCCCCTTCGCGCGCAAGCCCAAGCGGATCCGCACGGCCTTTTCGCCCTCGCAGCTCCTGCGGCTGGAGCGCGCCTTCGAGAAGAACCACTACGTGGTGGGCGCCGAGCGGAAGCAGCTGGCCGGCAGCCTCAGCCTCTCGGAGACGCAGGTAATCACCACCCCGCCGGCCCGCGCTCGGTCCGCGGGCCCAGGTGCAGGTGGGGGCGGGCAGGTGCAGGAGGGGCCCGGGGCTCACGCCCCCGCCTTCCCCGGAGCTCGGTCCCACTCAGTTCCAAAAGCTACCCCTACCCCCCGCGGCCCTCCGGCAAAACCTATCTCTAGAGCCCATTTCCTCCCGCTGCGGTTAGCCTCGCCGAGGCCGCAGGGCCTCCGTCAAGCTCTAAGGACCCACCAGGACTCTGGACTCAAACCACAGCCCAGCCTGCTCTCAAAGCCCACAGGAGGCGCCGGGTTCTCAGGAGGAGGCAGGGCCACGCCGCTGTCACTCCCGAGCTGTCCCAGTGTCCCCTGGAGCCGTTTCAGCCCTGTGGTTACTGCGGCTCTTCTCCCGCCTCTCCTCTGGGGTGCTCACGGTTTTGTGGGAGGCCCGGCCCTTTCCCACCCCCCGCACCAGCTTTGCTGCTGTTCGTGGGCCGAGTTGGCGGAGGCCTGGGCTGCCCACCAGCGGCTGTGGTGTGGGGAGAAAGCCCACGTGTCCTCAGGCTATAAACATCAGAAGCCGAGGAAACAGCCAGGAAGGGGCCAGCCCTGCTTGGGGTCGGAGGGGGGCGCTGATCTCTGCGCAGGCAGGCTGCTGGGGCTCTGGAAACTGGTGTTTGGGGCGCGCAGACATGGGAGGAAAGTGGGAATGGTGGAAAAGTAGATTCGGGGACTCAGGGACTGCGTTCAAACACTTGGAGGGCTGTTGAGTTGGGGAGGGAACAAACTCTAGTGGCGTTGGAGAGGTTTTGAACTGGGTGAAATTAGGGTAACCACGGAGTATTTTTGTAACTGATAATTAAGAAAAGAAAAAAATTAAAGAACTAGATTAGACTTCTTTGGAGGCAGATTTGGGTTTATTGTAAGTGAAGACTTTGCCTTAAATAAATGCTGTGTGGAAGGACTGCCTGAGCTCTTGGTCCCTGGGAGTCTGATATAGCTGTAGGGGCTGGCTGCTTCCCTGGAGGCTGATTTCAGTGTCTGGATGGGCCTTGGGAGATGGTACTCCCTTCCATCCCTCAAAGCTCCCAGATGTGCAAATGAGAGAAGGCCGCTTGCTTGCCCAGGGGCCCCTAGGGATTTTTATCATCCTCTCCCCATTTTTGGTGGTCTGGCCCCTACTATCTTCCATCCTAGTGCCCTGAGGAGGTGTCTTGGGGGGAGGGGGACAGCCTGGAGTCTCCCACGGAGTAGTGAAAATAGGAAGGGGGCCCAGTGGGGAATCCAGATCCTAAGTGCCTCCCCAGTCCCCCAGCAGACATCACTGGCTGGTCCTCACATTCTATTTTGGTTTCTATTGTCAAGACGTCTTATCTGTCTGATGCTCCATTTAATCACACATTACTTTCTCCTCTACCGCAGGACCCGTGCTTTTTCAGATTTGCTGGTTGGGCTGTTCTAACTACAGAGCTAAAGCTTACAAAACAGCCAAGTTAATTTTTAAAATGTTTAGAAGAAATATACGCTAAAAAAAGAAGTTAATAAAATAATACCCCCGTTCCCTCCTGGCAAACAGTGTTTTAAAGTTGTCTAAAACAAGGTGTCAATTTAAGAATGGTGTTATAGTTAACATCATTTAAAAAGTATTAGTTATTAAATTTTAATTGCAGAAGTGTAAGAAAACAAAACGGTTTATAATCCTCCCACCCACAGATCAACACTTGTTGAAATAATGTCATTGTTTTTAAACTTTTAATTTTTTAGCTCAGTGAGGGCATTTTTAATTCACTTTCTTTCAAACCGAATCTAGCTGCCTGTTTGCTCCCCACAATGCCAGTTAGTAAATGTAATGATTGTTTCCTTCATTTTTGTTATGTTTCAAACACATTTAAAACAAAACTGGGTAGAATAATATAGTATATCCAGCTTAACTATCAAAACTCATGTCTAATCTCGTTCTATCTATAGATGAGCTGGTTTTAGCATATGGGACAAAAAACCCCAAAAAAACAAAAAACCACAATAGAACTATGGGAGGCTCGAGCCTGAGAAACCATCCTGTAAAGGCTCCTCTTTTCAGGTGAGGACTGAGATAGAGAGATGAGGTGGGCGGAGCTCCCTAGGAGGACAGATTGGATTTTATTATCTGCCTTCTTGCTAATTGACTGTGTGACCTTGTGCAAGTTACTCAACCTCTCTGAGCTCTAATTTTCTCATCTGGAAAATAGATTGTTTAAGGATTAAAGACATGTAATAGGAATTCAAATAATATGAATTCTTATCTCCAGTCCTTCCCTTCCCTCTGCGTAAAGTAGTATATATATCAAGGTGGTTAGTGTTACAGTAAGCCCCTAGACTGGACTTCCTGAATTAGTCTGGTGTTTCTTCTGCCATATCTGGTCTCCTTCACCATCATAGCTGTCTTTCTGTCCCTCTTGTAACTTATCATTTGGACTTAGGCTACCTAATTAATTATCCATCTTTCAGTATTTACTGGGCAAGCCTACCTGTCATTTCCAACTATTGGCTATTTGTCAAACATCCATCTCTGCCGTCAGTCCCCTGCCATCTATTTCTACTGTCAGTAACTACATTAACTACATTTGTCTCTAGGAGCTCTCCAATCCATCCTGTACAGATAGCTGTTTTATATCTAGCCACATACTTCTCTGTCTGAACTCCTTAAAATGCCTCTCCAAAGCTGGTTAATTTATATTTCCTATTTTCTATTAATTACATTCTTCTTCCTCCTAACTAACACTAGCTCTCACCCAATTGTTGATTATTTCCTTATCATCTATTCTGTTTTATCTTCTGTGTACCTACCATTCTTCTCAAGCTTCCCTCTATACAGATGTAGTTAGCTACTGACACGGTATTTGCTTACCTATAGTGTCATCAGCTCTGTCTTTGTCTTCTTTCTGGGCCTCAGTTGCTGTATCTGTAACATTTAATGAAATGAACTCCATGGTTCTTTCCAGCCCTGAGTTTCTGTCTCATCTATATTCTCCTCTGTATTTCTGTATAGTGCTCCCTCCAAGTTCTCAGAGCTCACAGTACATCTCCAGTATATCATAATACGCATAGGACTTTGCTGCTGCGAAATTATCTACCACGTCCAAATGTCACTCTGTAGACTGGCTAGTTCCATCTCGCAAGGAAGTCTCAACATACAGATTCCCAGGCCCCATTCAGGAGATTCTCTTAGAAGTTCCAGGATAGGATCCAGGAAATGTTTTTAAAACAGCTCTCTGGGTGATTCTGATGAACAACAGGCCAGCTTTGGGAGCCAGGGGTCAAGCCTTCCTGCTTCTCTCTCTATACTCTATAGGGTCCTGCTCAGTGACGAGCAAGGAGTCGATGCTCCATAAACATGTATGGAATAAAGAGGCAAATTTCTGGGGCGCCTGGGTGGCTCAGTGGGTTAAAGCCTCTGCCTTCGGTTCAGGTCATGATCCCAGGGTCCTGGGATCAAGCCCCGCATCGGGCTTTCTGCTCAGCGGGGAGCCTGCTTCCTCCTCTCTCTCTACCTGCCTCTCTGCCTACTTGTGATCTCTATCTGTCAAATAAATAAAATCTTAAAAAAAAAAAGAGACAAATTTCTGTGGATTGTACACATCTCCATGTGTTAACTTTATCAGTCATTGCCCTTGCTTTCTGTAGTCACTGACACCTCCCTGTGTCTCTGTTTTCTATTCTTCCCTTGCACTTTATTTTAGATGTTCTAGTTTTATCCACCAGTTCGTGGGTAAAACTCCTGGTAGGATTAAGGAAATCAGTGTGTGGGTCTTAATTTAGGGCTCAGGGGTCTCTGTATGCTCAAAGCTTTAGTATGAAGTGTTGGGAGGTGGGCAAGCTGAACTTCTTTGTTGGGGCAGGTTTGTATGTTTGGTGGAGTGTTGGGTATCTATGCGGGGAAGGCCACGGGTCAATCCAGAGAGTGGAGGGAGTGGTCCTGGGAAAGGGCTGGTTCTCCTTTCTGGCTCTGATCACTTGCTCCTCACTGCTGTGGCGCTGCTTTGGAGTCTGATCCGGATGACTGGGTGATGTCCTAAGCTTCAGTCCTGGTGGGGCAGACCCGGATTGGAGTCAGATCAGAGCTGTGAGTGGAAGTGAATGTATGCATTGTAATGGGTGTGTGTAACATGTATGTGCTACAGTGTGGGGCACATGCAGGCAGTGTGATTGATGCCCAAAGTCACGTGATATCACATATACGTGGCATGGAAGGCGGCTCGGGTGCTTATGTGCACGCGTAGGGGTGGCATGTTAGGTGTATGGGGAAGGAGTCCAGGCTGATCAGCCGGTCAGTGTTTCCAGCTGCCCCTCCTGCTCTGACGTGTTCAGCAGGTGTTTCTTCACCTTCTCTGGCTTTGAGTTCAGTTGAGCTGTGACAAAGGGGTGCAGAAATGGAGTCCTCGGCCTTGGAGATTTGTGATGGGGGGAATTGTAAAGTGTGCACGCTGGCAGAATATGCACAAGGAGTGACTAGAGTCTCCTTGAAGTCACAGCTGTGGGCTGAGGGAAGTGAGGGGAGACCTGCAGGGGTGGAAGGTGCCCAGAAAGCTTGGAGGGTTGCACAGGGGTCTACATTGGTGGGAAGGAAGGGGAGGGTTTGATGTGGGTGGATTAAGATGCAGCAGGAGGTGTCAAGTCTGGCCACCATCCTGGGGCCCAAGAACAGGTGGGGAGGTCTCAGAAGGAAAGAGTGTCTGATTACCTGCCTGTGGGTTTTTCCCTCTGGGGCATTAGTAAGGAGACTTCTTGGGGTCCATTCCTGCTCTGAAAAACTCTGCTTTTAAATGTTTGTTTGTTTGTTTGTTTTAATTTTATTTGGCAGACAGAGATCACAAGTAGTCAGAGAGGCAGGCAGAGAGAGAGGGAGGAAGCAGGCTCCCTGCCGAGCAGAGAGCCCGATGCGGGGCTCGATCCCAGGACCCTGGGATCATGACCTGAGCCGAAGGCAGAGGCTTTAACCCACTGAGCCACCCAGATGCCCCTGAAAAACTCTGCTTTTGAGATGATGGTTGAGAAGAAGATATCCTAATGACTTGAATTTTAGGGAAGGTCAAGAGACATTTGTTACTAGCTCACTGTCGGTCCTGAGACGGACTCATCTCTTCTCCAGGTCTTGGTTCTTTTCCAAGAACTTCTGCGTCACTCAAGTTCCAGAGTCCAGTGGGAGGCAGGATAGGGCAGGGGAGGTGAGGGAGACTGGAGTAGGTCCCTAGGGTCTAGTCCTAAGGAGGCAGATGACTGTGTGATGTCTTTCTGAGAGTGAGGGCAAGCATCCAGATGATCTGGCAGAGGAGGAGGCAGGAAGGCTTAGGACGAGTTGGGCTGTGGTTGACAAGGAGTCAGAGGTGACCTCCCTCAGTTTGGTGGGCCTAGCATGGCATCGGGCTTGACCCTGAGAGTGGGAGTAGCTCATATGATCAAATAATAGGAAATGGATCCCCAGCAGAGAGGGATATTACCTTGATAGAGTGTTTGAACATCTTGCGGACAAGTATTCTCCTGAATATAGGCAGGCAGGAATATAGGCAGACTCTTCCATTTGGGATGGGCTAAAGTTGGGGACCAGTGGAAATGAAGGGATCCAAATCTGGGTCATTCAAATAGCAGGTTACTCAAAAGTAAAGTGAAATAATTGGCTGGAGCTGTAGTTTGCTTGTATGTTAGTTCCTTCGTCAATTCATTTGTTCATCAATACATGCACACCTTCATTCATTAATGTTACATACATCAGTCGGTCCTCTTATACATTAACGCACGCATGCGTTCATTCATTCCTCCACAGCACCTTCCTCATCCTGTTTGACTCATGCTGACTCCTGTGCCTCCCAACAGTAAGTCTCCCTCCCTCCCCCCCCCCAGATTCTCCCTAGAAGTGGTTAACCCAGTCCACAACATGGAGAATTAAGAACTGACCCTGTTGTAGAAGTGTCCACTGAACTATGCCTAAAAAGAATCCCATCTCTCCAGCCATCGCACTTCCCAAACCGCTTTTCTGATTAGACCTCAATCCCTCCACCACTGATTTTCTCGGGCTCTCCATGTCTGGCCGAGGCACCTCTTGCCCAGAGCACAGGGCCAGGTACTTCACCTGTGGCCAGCTTGCTGAACAGACCGGCACATGCCCACAGGGACGCCAGCCCACACTACTACGCTGCTTTGGTTCTCCAGGTTCCCACCGCCTGATAAGGAGACAGAGGTTTTAAAAGTAAATGAACGCACTGCTGGGGTCCCTGTTGCTGACACAGGGAAAGTTACTCGGGAAGCACAGACAGGCAGCAGGGCAGGTCCAGCCCAGGAACATCTGAGCAGGCTTTTGAAGGCTAAGCAAGAGTACTCCAGGCAGGGAAACTCAGGTAAACGTGGAGAAGTTTGGAAGGATCTGGCTTCTCTGAAACACTGAGACAGTCGGTGAGATGGGGACTTGGGAGGCCACAAGGGACCTCTCTCCAAACCCATAGGAGTCACAGATTGGGGAGGGGTTTCTTCAGCCAACATCCTGACGGTGCCCGGGGCCAGTGTGCGGGCATGGTGGGGAAGCGAGTACAGAATAAATACAGCTTCGTAAAACTAGCACTCAGAGCGGGACACACACTGCATGATCTGGTTCCTTTCTAGGGCCTCTGTCCTCCAGGGAAAGGGCTCTGGGGTGACCCCAGATCGCCCCGCTGGATTCCGGGGTAATGTCACTCTGGCCTCCTGCTACACTCAGAGTCCAGTTCTTTTTCTTTTTTCTAAGAAAAAATAACTCTTAATTGTTATTAATGCATCAAGGAAAAGACAAAAAGTGGAAAGAAGAAAGAAATGTCACCCACACTTTAAGTACATTTCCTTCTAGTCTTTTTTCCCCATGCATAGATTTTGTTTTCCCATGGTTGTGATCACACTGTGCCCAAACCGTATCCTGCCCTTTTCACTGACATTATTAAGTCATAAGCAGCCCCGTTATTACAGTCTTTGTAAACAGCATCTGGTCACTCAGCCTAAGGCTGTTCACAAGATAGCCAGTCTGCCTTAGGAGACAGTTTACCTCCCTGTTTCTAGAAAGCTGCCTCCTTGACCCTGGTCGTTTTCATGGAGAAAATATTCAGGATGCCCTTTCATTTGGGTGCCCAGGAAAGGTGGCTCTTTCCAGAAAATGTACCGTGTGCCTGGAGCTCCACCATTGAGGACTTTCCTCATTCAGGCCGGTGTTGTGGGGTGAGGGTAGCAGGCTGGGTCCACCCCACTCCAGACGAGTCTCCTTCCCGAAAGGAGCCTTGGAGTGTGTGTGGGAGGGAGAAGATGCAGAAAGGGGCCAGCTGTCCTGGTGTAGCCCAGAGCTTCCCCAATTGCCCCATCCCTCGGCTGGGCTGGCTTAGCCCTTGGCCAGCCTCAAGGGCCCTCGATAATGCCATTCCGGCCCACATCCAGGCATCCCAGGCACTCACCCACCTACTGGCTGGCGTAGTGTCAGTGGGCTCTCGGATGGGGGGCGAGGACAGTCAGGGGCCAGATGCAGCTGTGCTGAGAACCACCCAGAGCCCAGCCTGCCCTTTACCCCAGAAAGGTGGTTATGGGATCTAGAAGTCTTGCCCCCAGAGCATCTACCATTTTCCTTTGTCTGTCTGAGGTGAGACAGGCAGGCGGTGAGTTTGTCCCCTGCCTTAGAGACGAGGGAAGAAGCTCCTCCCTCCCTTACTGTATCCACTGAGGCCAGGGGCCTCATTTCTTCCTATCCCTAGCTCCATGCCCCTCCCCTCCCGCCCAGTGCTCTAAAATTAAAGGGCAGGGTCTCCCTGGGGAGAGGGAGCTGTTAGGGGAAGCCTTGGACTGGGTGGGCTCCATGAAGCGGACAGGGGGCTGTGCCTGGGAAGCATGAAGGCAGAGCGTCTTGGGCAGGAAACTGCTCCCTGTGCCCTGACACGAGGCCTGCTTTTGGCCCAACACTGCCTTGTTTTATAGCTACAGCCTGTGCTTTTCCACCATTCTTGGAGTGGGTCGTCGTCTGAGGATGGCCCCTGTCCCCACCCAGGGTTCCAGGATCTTCCCTCAGCATTCACTGCTGCTGCCAAAACCAAGTATGCTCACCATCATTCCACACACACGACCTCCCACTCACCGCCGGCAGGGACACCAGGGGTCACCCAGCGGCAGCCAACAGCACCTGCTGGCTTTGTAAATGAGCTCTCGATTTCAGGAAACCATCCATGTCTCTGCCATCTCTGTGTCACCTCCCCCAGGGACTCTCGGGAGCAAAAGCCCAGGAGGTGCCCTGGAGCTGCAAAGCCGCCGGAAAAACATCTCTCCTACAGATGAGGGGCATAAGCCCAGCACAGGGAAGGAACTTAGCAAAGGATCTGCGCTCAGGCCCACTTTCGCCAACTCTGAGGATGGGGGCGGGCGGGCGATGGCCTGGCTCTGCAAGGCCAGCAGGAGCGGACAGACTGAGCGAGGCTTCCTCCACCATCTCGAGTACTAGGTCTAGTTAGGGAGCCCTCCTTGATCATGCATAAGAGGATGTTAAAGGCTGTATCTTGGACACTGAGCAAATGCTGGGGGAGGTGGGAGAAGTGAGGGGTGAGGAGAGATACGGCTAAATCTGGGGCAGCTTCCTGGAGGAGGTGAGCTTAGCATTGTTTACCTGCCCCTCCAAGCCCTCCCTCCCACCCCCCCCCCCCCCCCCCCCACCGCGGACAGCTATCGGCTTTTGAACCCTCTCCTTGTCAGGACTCTCACTGCCTGACACAGAAGCAGGGGGCCCTCTCTGTTTAAGAGGAGCTCACTTCTGTACCCTTTGGTTTCTCCTGTGTAACCTGTTCCCATATTTGGATGGGCTGCAGAGGCCAGTGCTTCGGGGGCAAGAAGTTTAGAGCACTGGCCCCGATAGGGCTGCAGGCACACCTGTGTCTAAGGAGGAGGCCTCATTAGTGGGTTTCAGACCACCGTGAGTAGCTGTCCCCCGAGGGAGCAGCCATCCACCTGCCCAGCTCAACCCCTGATGTGGGGTGGGGGGAATTCCGCCTGACGTTGTTCACAGGGTCCTCTGGAGAAGCTGATTGACCTAGACGGTGTGTTAGTTGGAACCTTGAGTGGCGGGGTATGTGACCCTAGGAGTGCTCTGGCTGTCCTGGGCACTGCTCTTGGAGTGGACATCACCTCCTGGTTATTAGCCATGTCCACTCTGCCTCATTATGCTGCAAAGAGCACAGGGTGGCTGGGGGTGGGGGTACATCAGGGCCACAGGCGCTCATCAGGACTCATGCAATGGCTTTTTATATGTCCGCCTACTCACTCTTTACCTTCACCTCGTGAAGGAGTGATTATTATCTCTTCCTAGAAACGGGTAGGGACCCAGGCCTGCCAGGCTCCAGAGCCTGGCTTCCTCCCCTCTGCTGTGCTGTGATTGCTCCCTGCCCTCTGTGAGAGGGACTGGAAGATGGCCCCATCTTGGCCCCCTGTGTCCTCTCCCCGCCCCACCTCATTCACGCCTGGAAGCGTAGTCTTTCAGATCCAGCAGGTGGCACCTGGCCAGAGGAGAGGACCCTGGCCTTGGTTTCCCCATCCGGCTCCCAGCTCAGCCTGGGCACTGAGACCCCAGGAGCTGCTCTGGGGGCCTCCTGGGTGTTTCTTACTTCTGCCCCTCCCTCCCTGGCCCAGGTGAAGGTGTGGTTCCAGAACCGGAGGACAAAGTACAAGCGGCAGAAGCTGGAGGAAGAGGGGCCTGAGTCTGAGCAGAAGAAGAAGGGCTCCCACCACATCAACCGGTGGCGCATTGCCACGAAGCAGGCCAACGGGGAGGACATCGACGTCACCTCCAATGACTAGGGTGGGCAGCCTCGGATCCACAAGAGCAGAGCACCTGCTCGCTGCTGGCCAGGGCCCCTGGGTGGGCCCAGCTGGACTCTGGCCGCTCTCCCGCCAGGCTTCGGGGAGGCCTCGAGCCACGGCCGCACAGGGCTTGGAGCCTGGGGCCACTGCTGACGGAAGGACAAGAAATGGGCTGGCTGAGGCCTGGGACTCCTCCACCTTCTCCTCAGAGAGCCCGCCTGCCTGGGCAGGCCGCCGGCCACAGCAGCCTCCCAGCCACTCTCCACTTCTCTGATCTCCTGTTTGTTTTGATGCGTTTCTGTTTTAATTTATTTTCCAGGCACCCACTGTAGTTCTTAGTGATTCCCTTGTATCTCCCTTCCCTATGGGAATAATAAAAGTCTCTCTCTTAATGACATGGCATCCAGCTCCACCCCCCGGAGCCTGTGAGCCTGGGGGGTGGATTCGGGCTCTGGGGACCAGTGGGGACAGGCAGAGCAAGCTTGTACAGCACTTGGGAGCCTGGGGCGGGGCCCGGGAGACTCAACCCATTACCTTTACTCCTCTGATGGTGGTCCACCCTGATCTTGAGCTCTAGCTCTAGAGAAAGGGAAACTGAGGCTAGACGTGGGGAAAGACCAATCTGTGTCTTAAGGGAGGCTAACTACACTCAGGTCTTTCCAAGGTTATGGAGCAATGGGAAGCAGGCGCATGTGGCTTAGGGGAGAGACAGAATATGCCCACTTCTGCGTGCTGAGAGATGCGCCTACTGAGAGATGCTGAGGGCTCCTTCAAGTGAGGAGACACTGGGAGTGAAAAGGAGTACTGGGGGCTGGGGGCAGAGCACCATTCATAGAAGCTGACCATCCCAGGCCCAGGTTCTGGCCCCGCTGGGACACTCATCCATCCCCAGAGCATCCCCCCCCAACACACACCATGCAGAGGAAAGCTTTCGAGATGGGGCATAAGGCTGAGCCCACCACCTGTCCCCAAGGACGCAGGGCCTCTAGCCGGGAAAGATCAATAGGGCAGGGCCTGACTGAGCTCTTTAATCCACCTGCCCTTCTGGTTGTCCGCTAGCCTTTCCTCCTGTCACAATTCCTTCATCTTTAAAACGCAAGACCTGTATTCCTAACAACCTTTCCCTTACGACATCCAGACCTGTCCCCACTTCTTCACCTGCCGTGTGCTCCCCAACCCTCTGCCTGTGCTGATGACGTCACCAATCACCGATTACCAGCACCCCTGGGGCCAAACTCAGCTGCCACCTGTTCGGCTTTACTTACACCGTTCTCTTCTGGCCGTTCCCTCCTTGACTTCCACACCCCTGCCTTCATTTCAGTGCCTCTGACACTGTCACCTGCCCCTCCGTCCTCCTGTCTTGTCCTTGCCTCATCGGCCCTGTTCCTCATCAGGGCCTGTCCCTGTGCCTCCTGCCTCTTCACTGTGCCCTGCCCCTGGGTCTTCACATCTATGTCCGGAACTTCTCCTGGCTCCCCGGACTCCCTCCAGCTGACCCCTGCCGAGCTGCAGACCCACCAAGCTTGCTGCCCACATCTGCTGCCTCCAGGCCCCCTGGCACCTCGAATCCAACACATTCACCACTGACTCATCTCCCCACCAGTTCTCCTTCAGGACTGCCCACCTTGGCAAACAGCCAAGGTTTCTTCTACCTTGGGAAGCAGTGCCCATGGCTCCCAGGGCGTGGGGAGGGGAGGGAAGGGAAGGAGTGGTAGGCGTAATGAGGTTTGTGTGGATGTCAAAGAGGAGGTCCCCCCACTGTGGCTAGCGCATAGGACTGTGTCACGCCCATCCTAAGCCCCTCACTCTACCCCTACTTCTTTCCCAGCCTTGGCCTCTCCTACCTCACTCCTGGTGCCCTCTACTTCAGTCTTACCCCTGTCATCCCTGTCCCCCAGTAAGCCATGGGTTTCGCCTGTGCTGTGCCTTTACTTGTGTTTCTCTGGGCTCCTGGAATGTGCTGGGGGCTTGATCAATGTTGACGTCCATGTTGAAGACCTGCTGTTTGGGGCACATGCAGGGATCCAAGCACAGAAGGTCCTTTTGCCCGGACTGTCAGCATCTCACTTGGGTCCGGTCAATGCTAGAAACCAAAGGGCTTTCTCCCATCCCAATGCCCCTCCCCACCCCCTCCACCAGGAAACACACTCCTTACATCTCGAACGTCCTAACCTCAAGGTGCGTTCTCTCGCTGCCAAGCAGGCGGATAACCTCTGGGGAGCATGTACACCCCAGTGGGGTGAGGTGGAGAAGGGGAGGCGTCCTTTTGGCACTGGCGGGGGCAGAGGAATGGGAGAACTGTTCCTCTCCAGATTCTCTCACTTGGTGGGGGAGGGGGTGCGTGAGGATCACAGCAGAGCCGCCCCTGTCATCCAGATAAAGGGCTGGAAAGGACCCAAGGAAACCTGCCAATCTTCCTAGGCCAGGCCCGCGAGGGGCGGGGCGGGAGTCCCCACCGCACTCCCATCCATCCCCTGTGTTGTGCCTCTCCCTGCAGACGGTAAATATTGGTGTTGTGACTTCATTAATAAAGGCTTCTGTGAGCCTGAAAAACATGGAATCAGGATGAACTATTTTCTGAGCTGCCGGCTTGCCAGGTTTGCTAATTTGGGAGTTTTTGGGCCCTCTCCAGGGAACAAACCAAAGTTTCTCTCGAAGAGACACAGATGCAGCCGGGAAGGGGAGAAGAAGCCGAGGAATGACGCTCCCATCCCTCCCTCAACTGCTCCTTGCTCTTGGAGATCGGGGCCCTGCAGGTGGACAGGTGGACAGGGGCTACTCGGCCTGGCTTTCCCCGAAGGAGCCTGGCATTGTCATGTCCCCTCAGCTGGGCTGGCCTCCCAGGCCCTGCAGGGTCAGATGGCTGAGACACTGACAAGAGGCAACCCCACGCTACATGGGGCTTAAGTGGAGGGAACGTGGGGCAGCCGTTCTTAATTCTCATGGCCTGAGCCACGTGCCTCTGCTTCAGGGAACGATCTTTATGTTCTTGGCGTCCATGGAACTTTCCGAGATTAGCCCCCACAGCTCTGTAGCCGCGGGGCTTGTGCTCTTGGTGTCTCTGCACTCGGTTTTCACCAGCTCCTCCTCGGGGGCGCCGTGATTGCCTCCCGTGGGGCTTCCCAGAACCCCGGGCCCAGTGAGCTGGGTTCTGCCCAGGAGGGAGCCAGGCAGGGGGCGCCCCCCAGGCCTCTGCGGGAGCCCCTGCTCCCGGGCAGCCCTGCAGGGGGAGGGGCAGGGAGGCCAGCAGGCTGAGTGGTGCAGGCCCAGCCAGCTTTCCTGTCAGACAGGCGCTGCCAATGCGGAGCCAGACATCGGGAACAGGTTTAACCAATTACCCGAGCGCCCCATCTGCTGTCTGGGGTGTGTGTGAGGGTGAGTGCATGTGAGGGTGTCTGGGAGTGTCTGGGAGGGCTGTGGGCGTGTGTGCGCGAGTGTGACTGTGTGGGTGTGTGTGGGCGTGCGGCGGTGCACGTGGGCGGGGTGTGCCACCTGTCCCAGTCGTACCCCCTCATTTGTCAGGCTGTGGCCACCGGCTTATGGTCTTCCTGTCTCCCCAAGACCTGGGGAGACATTCACTCCATAAATGACCCACCCAGCGCCCCAGGCCCTCGCTCCCTACTCCCCTCATCACCACTCTCGCTCCCAGGGCTTACGAGAGACCCCGGAATCACACCTTCTCTCAAATCGCACATTCGGATGTTCTTTTCCTACCAGACCCCATGTTCTTCCCGCTTACTCTCTCAGTTTTCTTCTACATCGACACTTTGACCTCCTCACAGGCCACTCCTGGCCATGCACCCATCTGCTCTCTCTCCCACATCCCCTGGTCCCACAGTTCCTTGGTTGCAACTGCTTGGCAAAAATCACAAACTTTCTTGAACCTGTTTCCCCGTCTGCCCTTGCAGCTGAGTCTGTGAGGACATCAGGCAAGAGTGCTGGATGGCACCCCTTGGAGTCCAAGGTCCAGCCTCCGTTTAGGCCTCACCCGTTAATAAACCCATTCCTCTTCTCCACAGGGGATGTCTCAAACAGTCACCCTTCTCCCCAAACCTCTTTTCCTGCTTACCCTCAACAGGAGACCTTATTTCCATCTCTAGAGGGAAATGAGAAGCTCTGAAAGTGAACACCTTCATATCAATTGGGGGCCAGGAAGAAAGAAGTGGTCTCTTCAAACGGGGCAGTTGGAGGAGAGTTGGATAAAGGAACAATTCACAAATGTTGGGAACCCAACAATGGATGTTGTAGTGCCCCAAGGCTAACGACAGTGGCCCACAGCCCTGGGACCAGAAAAGGCAGGGGCAGGAGCAGTTATCAGAACCTGAGAGGACAGATGGAGGGAGATGGCCCCAGACAGGAGCTGTGGTCTTCAGTAGCGGGGGCCGAAGGAGGCAGGAGAGGCCATGGGAATGAATCCCCCAGGGTCGCTCTCCTCAAATCCTTCACTGGGGACTCCCAATCAGAGGAGCCAGATGGCAAGTCCATACGAGTCAGCCTCCCAGGACAGAGAGCAGGTGGAGAGTGGTGCAGTGTGGATCTGGAAGGGCCAGGCAAGCTAGCCTCTCACCCCCCAGCCTCCACCACCACCACCCAGCCCATCCTCTCCACCTCCTTCCTGTTACCCGAGACCCTTCTCTCCTACCGGCTCGCCCTTCTCCTCTCTGGGGACCTCACTTCTCTTTCCCCCCTGCCCAGGTTCCTCTTCTCTCACCCATTACTGTCCACATGCCCCAGTCTTCCTTCTAATGCCTTCGCTTAGCCCCACATGGTGTTGCAGCCATTGTCATGTCGCAACGCCCAGCTCACAGCCCACTTTCACTTCTTGGAAATTATTTGTTTTACAAGTTATGGTACATTGGCAGCCAGTCCGAGTCCTACTAACTTCTCAGCCCATGGAGATCTGGCTTTTGCCTGACCACACTCCACTGAGACTATTCTTTCCAGGTCCTTCCAGGGGACACGCTGTGTGTGCATCTTCTGTCATCCCCAGCACTTGT